CATGTGCATATTTCAGATGAATGGTGAAAAAGCGATTCTTTCAAGAAGTCCAATTTAATTTCTAAAGAAAAATTGCAATTTCCTGATTCAGACCTCTCATCTGTGTAGTGGGAGCACTTGCTTTAGCCATCAGAGCTATTCTCTTTGGGAATACAGGCTGTGAAACAGGATATTCCAATATCCATAAAGACTTTATTTACAGAAAAAAATTACTTCTCAAGAAATGAAGTGAACAGAACATATACAAATATGCCTGGAAATTTCTTCTATGGATAGTATTATTTTAGTAGAAAAAAGCAATACTTGTAAGGTTAATAATGAGGAATCATATCTATTACCATGAAGAGGTCTGACCATATAAAGTCACCTACTAGGAAACATATTATCTCTCTCTCTCTCTCTCTCTCTCATACACACACAAGATCTCAGAGAATTCCCTATCAGTATGCCTTCCATTTAATTTTATGAAATTTTGAAAAATGTGGGTAAAGCAGATCACTTATATTCTGCATAAAAGAACAGTTCATTATTTTTTTTAACCAGAACTCAATACTTGATGATGTATTTAATCAAATCTTAAAGAAAACTGGAGTAGGAGCCAGGGATTCTAGCAGGGTAACTGAGAAAGTCATTTAATCTCTTCTACAGTAGCTTCACAGATGAAATGCAGATAGAAAAGTTCTTTAGAAAAATAAAGCAACATGTAAATGCATGATAGTGTTTCTTTTGTTGTTGCTCTATGAAAGTGGACCATTGAAAATCTGTGCCAAATGTGGGCACACTCAGACATATAACACAACTTTTTGAAACTCTTACTGTGAATAATACATTTTTTGTTTTTCACTGGTATCATATGCTATACTGCACATTAAACAGGATTCACTGAACCTATAACCTAGGACTTTCAATGCTATGAAAATAACTTTTAAACTATAAACCTCTTTCAGGACTATGTAACTCACTTTTGCAGACTAATTATTTTTTTTACAAAACTCAATTCCTTGTATTTTACAAGTCATTTATTAACTCTCCCATGTTCAGTGTATAAGAAAAGTACCCCCCCACACCCCCCACAGTAGCAGGCAGATCCTTTCACCATGAAAATGTAAGCTAGAACTTTGGTTTGCATGGTTCATTCCATATACCTAATAGCTCTTAATGATATTGGCTAATATGTTAGCTTAATGAAAGGTCAACCTTACTTTTCCAAATTTCAGTATGAATTCATTCTTTCACCACCTCCATTTAAAAGGCAGAGATCAAGTGTCCATTTTGGTTACTCCAAGTTTCAGATAGATAGATAGATAGATGAATGGGTAGATAGATAGATGATAGGTAGAAAGATAAATGATAGATAAAGATACAAGCAAATAAGAACTTGCATATATATATATATATATATATATACAGGTTTGATCAAGTTGTTAAGGGAGCATAACAATGAAATTACTCAGTCCTACCTGAAGAGGTCCCATGTAGACGAGAAATGGAAAGTTGGATACTGAAGAAGTTTTGGTTAAGGAATGAAACTGATTATCAGTGGAAATAGTTGCTGGGAAGCAGTTCTTCATGGATGTCTCCTGCATGTCTGCATGTCTCGGTAGCAAGGCACTGACCACCTTTCTTTGGGCCTGTCTTTTCAAGAGTGTTGGTCTAGCAAGCAGCTTTGGAAGATAGAGATAGTGGGACCCTCCAGAGCAGAGCAGGCACGCTCCTTGCCTGTAAGGAAATGTCGGGGCTCCCCAGTGCAGCTCCTCAAGTGCGGCTCCCTCAAGTGCAGGTATCCTCTGGTTATCTTCATTTCTCAATCATCTTTTAGAGTTTATGCATATGTGTTTAATACCTGTGATGTGTGAGCCTCTCTCGTGATATTTGGTCTATTTGGTGGCATTCTGCCCTCTGTATTGACTTTTACAAGGGGCATTGTATTTGTACTAACAAAGCCTTGTGGAAAAATCCACCTAGATGTTGTACAAGGAATGTAGAACTGAGTGATTCAAACCTAAGCTCATTGTCTCCCCACATTTCCTCGACTGCCTATATCAAATGATTCCGTTTGTTACTGGTCATATTTTGGCCTAAACCTAGCAAGTGCATAATGCATAGACTGTACACGTTAATTATTTGTTTGTTGCATTAGGGAATTTCATTTATCATTGGCTTAATTCTAGAAAGAATAAATAGTAGGAAGAACATAAAATTATATCAAAAAGCACACATTCTACTTTGACTGAAATGGCCATAATTGTTGGTTTTCTTCAGAGTACTTGTGAATAACGCCTGTTGCATGGTGTTGATGCGGAGGAGGGAACCCAGCCCCTTAATTGTACTTGGCATGCTGTTATCACCTTCTAAAGACCCTTTGTTCCTTCTTTGGGTCAGCATTGCTTCTAAAGCTGACTGCTGTTGACAACGTAGTTTTGGAAGCAATCAGTGATAATGATACCACATGGCTTAAGATTGCCTGGCTTTGTTTCTTTTCTCTCTTTATAGGACAGGAGGTAATGAGAAAGAAGAGTAAGCTTTTCTCCTTTAATCCATATTTCCATTCTACACTTTTTATTTATTGCTTGGTTCAAATTGTAGCCACTCTCCCATTAGGCATGATTTCATCATTGTCTTCCAAAATTGATCCTAAAATTGAGGAACCCACACTGCCTTCTCAGCTCTACACCTCCTAAGTTAATTTCATGCATCGCAGCCTGCACAGACAGTGGAGGAGAATTCTTCTCCTTCTTGGTTAATTTTTGTTAATGAATTGTCCGATATCATGGGAATTGTGGAAGATGGCCTCCTAAAATTGTATCAGGGACCATCTGGGCTCTTTCACTGAATTAGCACAGGATGCTAATAAAGCCAGTTATAGCTTTGGACACCAGAAAGGCCAATGAGCCTTTTTCTTTGTCATAAACAGAAAGTGGGCACTGCATCCTAAACAGTCACTTCACCAGGGCGTGCAAATGATTGTCACATCAGGACAGAGTGACACATGAGAAGTAGCCAGCTTGAATTCATCATTCTAGAAAAACCATGAAGCCCAACTCCTGCAAATCTGAGTTGATTTTATCTGTTGTCTGTTTGGAAAACTTTGTCATGGGTTTCAGTGATACCAAGAAATCATGCTGTTGCAATCTGTATATATTTACTGTGATGTGAAATTGAGAAAGGCTGTTTTTCTTATTTTAAATATTAAACTTTTAATTAAGTATATTCAGAAGGTAAATGCATCTTCTAAGCCAGGTCCACAGTACTAGTCTAATAACAACATGTCCAGAATTCGGACAATTTGCCATCTCAGATTTGGGCAAAAGATGAAAGGAAGCATTTCTTATATTGGACTCGAGCTATGCTGATGAGGGAATATTGAGGTTTATTTCCTACTAGGGCTGTGTCTTTCAGGAACTAGCATTTGGTGGTGGGTGTGCTGTGTGGCACAAAAAAGACATAAACAGCACACTTTCTCTAACCTCAGCTTTCTGGACAGAAGCCAAAATACCTAATCCACACTCAAGTTCAGGGAAGAGCAATTGCTTCTTGAGTGACTCTGTGTGGTAAAAGTCTGTTAACACCAGCACATTTTCCTCCATTTGTTATTAGTTTATGGCAGTTATACAGTCATGCGTTTGCTATGACATTCCCATATGTGCATAAAATGTACTGTGATCCTGTTAAATTCATATCTCTATTACCCTTTCTTGTGCCCCTCTCTATCCTCAAATCCCCTTTCCACATCCCTAATAGTCACCTTTTTGCTTTCATGTCTTCCCCCACCCCAGCCAAAACCCCAAATTCCACATGAGAGAAAACATGCAGTACTTGTCTTTGTGGGACTGGCTTATTTCACTTAACATTATGATATCCAGTTCCATCCACTTACCTGCAGATGTCATTACTGAATCCTTTATAGCTGAATAAAACTCCATTGTGCATATATGTCCCACATTTTCTTTCACCATTCATCTTTTGATGGGCACCTGGGCTGATTCTATCACTTGGCTATTTTGAATAATGTCACCATAAACATGGGCTTGCAGATATCTCTGTACTAAATGGATTTATTTATTATTTATTCATATTTATTTTTGTGATACTCAGGACCTCCAGCTTGCTAGGCAAGCACTCTTACCACTCAGGCCAAAGTCCTAGTCCTTTTGTTTTTGAGATAGGGTCTGTTCAGCTTTGCCTGGGCTGGCCTCAAATTTGAGATTCTTCTTTCTCTGCCTCCTGTGTAGCTGGTATTACAGATTTGTGCTACCTCACTATACCCAGCCTATTTTAACTTTTCAAGGAATCTCCATACTTATTTCCATAGAGGTTAGACTACTTTACATTCCCAACAACAGTATATAAGGGTTCCTTTTCCCAGCATCCTCACCGGCATTAAAAAATTCTTTTTTGTAATGATACTCATTCTGACTGGGGTGAGATGGAACCTAAGTGGAGCATTGGTTTGCATTTTCCTGATAGCTAGAGATATCAACTATTTTGTAAAATGTATTCATTGTTTATTTATATTTCACCATTTGAAAAGTGTCTCTTCCATTCATTTGCCCATTTATTGATTAATTTTTTTAGTTCTTTGCAATGGATACTCTGGATTACTTTGAGTTCTTTGTTCTGGATAATAAAGTTCTTTGTTCTGTCAAATGAATAGCTGGCCAAGTTTTGTAATGAACACAAGTAATAGTAAGTGTTTTACTGCATGCAAAATTATTCAACAGATTTGTTCTTTACATTCTGGGTAAATCATCAATTCCACAGATATAACTTAGAAACTATGCTTTTGAATTTTGACTATAGCTATCATTTAGGTGTAAAATAAATCACTTCACTTTGCAAATAATAGAAATACGGTATTTGGTGAATATCACTGTGCTGATTTCTCACTGTTTGAAATTTCTGGGGTGAGGATTTACTTTAAAAAGTATAATTGTTTAGCTTTTCAAATAAGCCATTGTGGCAATCTCAGTGACCTGTTTTACTTATGTTTTGCATTTCAGGACTCATCCCAATTTTCAGGACTCCCTGAGTATGTGAAAATCATAGAAGTTGGACCGAGGGATGGATTGCAGAATGAAAAGGTAGGCTTACATTAGTTTTACAGAGTATGTTAAAACACTAAGTGCAAATGTTAATATTTCTTAAGATTTTAAAGATATGTGGATTCTGTATTTTAAGTGATTACATTTGATTTTAATTGCTACTTGAATTTATAATTCATATTACCTTTCAGTTTGGAAGTTATTTTCTGTTTATGCTTTAATGGATCTTATGTAATTTACTTACAAATTAACCTTTTTGTTTTATAGATTATAGTTCCTACTGATATAAAAATTGAATTTATCAATCAACTTTCCAAAACCGGCTTGTCTGTAATAGAAGTAACCAGCTTTGTGTCTTCCAGATGGGTACCACAGGTACTTAAGCCTATAATTACTTCAGTAAATCCTTAATTTAGCCCGAATCACTTAGTAAACATTGTGATGTGTGTAATGGTGTTAACCTAATAGAATAATTAGTAACTTTCTACCTTACTGAAAACTGTTAACTCATGCACTAATATAATTAAAGAAAAAAACTCTTTGATGGAATATCTTATATGAGTTTAATCTTAAAAAGTATCTTTGAACTCCGTACTAATCCTATGTGAATACATGGTCCAATATAATGAATAGAGGTTAAGCGTCTTAAATAACAATTTAAGGTCCTTCTTTCCATTTACCATTTTGTGACTGGCCTTATGAATAACCCGAGCATTTCTAAGTGCTTTAACTTTTCTGTCTGCTGAAGGAAAGTGATGGTAAATGACTTTACACCTTCCTCATAGAATCTCAGTAATGGCTTCCTTTAGCACTTTTATGTCATGTGAGACATCATCAGGGATGAGGCAAAGAAAATCATTTAGAGTATGCTCTTGAAAGATTTTAGAGCTTTGTGTAGAGTTTTCAGGCACTAATGGGCATAAGTTCTGAGACTCAACCGTAGTTTTTGAAGCAGAATTAGTAATCAGTAACTAGCACAACCCTTTCACTTCCTACTCTAGGGGCCCTCCTCGCACCTGAGACCCTCAGCTCCTCCCCAGCACTGATTACTTTTCATCCTCATCTCCTAGTTTCTACTATTCTCTGCTCTCTTGATTCAGTGGCTTCCCCAGTTACTCTTTCTCTGTCATCCTTGATGTCTTTCTGTGATCAGAAAGGTTAAGGTTTCCCTAAGACTTTGTTTTCTCTTCCTAGCTCGCTCAGTCACTTCTATGAGGACAACACATTAGTGTTTGTAACCCTACTTTCTCTGTTATGCTTCAGCTAGCTGTGCCACTTGGCACCTCAAATACATTGGGCTCAAAATCCAACTCATGATTGTCCATCCTACTTTATGGTAAGAGTTCAGCTGTTCCTTTTGGAAACTTGACTTTGAAACTTCAAGCAACTTTCTGTGTCCTATTGTTAAGGGCTTGGTCCATTTGGGCTTCTGTAACAGAATAGCATAGTTAGTCTGAGTGGCTTAGATGACAGAGACTTATATGTCACATTTCTGGAGCCTGGGAAGTCCAAGATGAAGGTGTCATCAGATCTGGTGTCTGGTGAGGGGCCTGAGTCCTGATTTTTCACATAGCTTTCTTCTCATTGCATTCTCATGTGGCAGACAGCCAAGAAAGGAAGCAAACTCCTGTTTTTTCTTATAAGAGCGTTATTCCATCATGAAAGCTCTACCATCATCATCCAGTTTCCTCCCACAGGCTTTGTCTGCTCATCCCAGCACTCTGGATGTTAGGATTTCCACATATGAATTTTGTGAAGGTTCAGCATTTAGTCCACAATGATTGCTGACTCAGAAAATGCCTTATTTTCCCACTGTATCCATTGCATATTTGCCCTTGTTTTTCAATCCTATAGATATGTTAGCAACTCAGACCCCAACTGAATAATCACTAGTAGTCTATTAGGTGGTAGTCCTAAACTTTACTTCTCTCCTTCTCATACATATTACTTATTGTTTCTAAGATAGTCTTCCAGAAATCTCAGCCCTCACAAACTCACATTCTAAGTTCTTTGATAGTTGTCTTCATCCCTCTGGAAACTTCGGTCATTCCTTTCCTGTCTAAATTCCATTACCCTAGTCCCTTTGTTGAAGTTTCTGCTAAACCCAACTGCTTCTTATTCCCTGTTTTTGTGTCCTGTGCTTATGTACACTTCAGATTTCTTCACTGTAACTGAATGATATAAAAATGTTAGAAACATTAAAGCATTTTCATTGCAATCCATTTGAGGTAACAGAAAGCACAATGAGACTACTAGTGTCATGCTTCATTTCAGAGTTAATGTTATTTAGCCTCAACACAGTGATTTTCTTGCACTTGCTAGGTGCAAGGCCCTGAATTCGAACTCCAGTACTGCCAAAACCAAAACGAAAACCATACCAAGATTTTCTTCATGCTGTTTTCACAATAAAGTGACTTAAGTAAATCATATACCTACAAAAGAGCAATATGCCTGAATCAAAGAAAGATATGGATTTGCTTTCTGAAGCTGTACCAGTCACTTTCTATATAACATGTGGAGTGCTTATCAAAAGGAAATATTGTTGAGAATCTTTTTTTAAATTTGCAATTGAACCGACCATTATTGTGCTGCTGTTTTAGATTTCACTGAACTGCACTTTTAGAATGTCCCTTTAACATTTTTATATCATTTTTATTTTTGAAGAAATCCACATGCCAGACTCATGTCTTTTACCTTAAAGTAGTATCTGAGCTTTGGAACTAATCATTTTAGTACAACACCTTGCTTATGTATTGTCTGATGTGTTCTGTTTCTAAGGACAATGTGTGGGTTCTAAACTGGTGTTTTATTCTGTGTGTCTTCTTATGGTTTTCCCCCCATCCTAAACTGGTGTTTTATTCTGTGTGTCTTCTTATGGTTTTCCCCCCATCCTAAACTGGTGTTTTATTCTGTGTGTCTTCTTATGCTTTCTCCCCCCTGACTAATGTAGGTCATGGGAATAGATCTTGAGTTTATGTTCAGGCTGCTGCTTGTTCACTTACTTCTTTTTTTAGCATTTTAAAGCTTTTTTACAGTTTCCCTCCTACTGTTTTCTTTGGCAGAAGATTTCTAACTCAAACAACTGAAAGAAAAGTTCCACAGTAGCAGGGTTCCATATAAAACAGTATCCCACACCTATAATCTAAATGGCCAGAGATGATAAAATACCTGCTGTTAAAAAATACATGTTCTTTGCAACTTATCTGAAAAAGTTTTCCTTAGAATGGTATGCAGTGTAAGGGCATCTGAAATGCTCCATGTGGCCCTCACTGAGACAACACACAATTGCACAGAAAAAAAAAGTGTTTAAAAATAGATAGGCTTCTTACAACTTTGGAATGTGGTTGTTAGTAGTAAACTTTAAATTATTATAAATGCAGAAATTTTTAAAAAGTGAGCTACAATATTACATTCATTGTTAGTTTGCTTATTTGAATTTAAGCATTTTCATTCATGAGTGATTTAATCAAATGTCATTCATTTAAAAATAAGAATAAGTTAATTATACCTAACTTAATTTTTATGTATGTCATATGCAAAAGCTCAGTTTAAATATTTGCTCCATGATTAATTAGTGTTCAATTATTGAAATAGTTGGGTCTCACGTCTTGAAGGGTAGAGTAGATTTTTTTTTTAATAAAAGTAGAAAGAATTGCACATAAAGCACTGTCATGATTATTTACAGATCACTACAACACTTAAAAATACAACATAAGCACATTAGCCAGAAGGAATGTATAAATTTTCCCAACTCTCCTTCAGTGCCTGATGCAATTAGTTCTTTATTGGTGATGAAAGCACTTTTACTGGATTGGTTTTGGATTTAAATTTGCACTGATGAGATGCAGGAGACTGGAGCTTCTGCTGCTGAGTCCTGCCTGGTATTTTCTATGGCTCTGCTCCTGGTGATGAGTGTGGGTGCAGGGAAGAGACAAGGAAGGGGTGATTTGCAAGGTGTGTGTGTGTGTGTGTGTGTGTGTGTGTGTGTGTAAGAGAAAGTGAGAATGAGCAAGAAAGGAGGCAAAGAGCCCCCCAGAGTGCTGGGGTATGAGGATAGGTAAGACACCTAAAAAACTAGACAGCATTTGTTGCCCTCAATGCAGAGAAACTAAAGCAGATACTTTAAAGCTACAGAGGCCAATAGGAGAAGGGGACCAGGAACTAGAGAAAATGTTAGTTCGAGAAGAATTAACCTGGAAGGTAACACACATGTACAGGAAAGAGATGCGAGTCAACTTCCTGTATAGCTATCCTTTTCTCAACTAGCAAAAACCCTTGTCCCTTCCTGTTATTGCTTATACTCTCTTCAACAAAATTAGAAATAAGGGCAAAATAGTTTCTGCCTGGTAGCGAGGGGGTGGAGGGAGAGGGAGAGGACAGGGAGGCAAGGGAGGGGGTGGAGGGAAGGGGGACGAACATTGTATACACATATGAATAAAAGAAATAAAAAAATAGTACCACAAAAAATAGAATTTAAAATACGCATATGAAGTCTTTGCTACCTCATTTTGCCTCCATTATATAATGGTGCGAAGCATAGACCTCGTGGGTTGCTTCAATAGGAGCACTTTTAAACTAAGTATGTAGCTTGCGACATATTCTGTGTTCTCATTTGCATTCACATATATGTAATTGTCACCTCTTCCTGGTGCTAGTAACATTAAGCAAGTTCTCCTTATCTATATGTAAATGATCACAAAGTTGAGTTGCTTAAACCAGTAACAATATTTGTTTCTGCTTATGGTGTCTGTGGATTGAAAGTTGCAGAATGGCTCAGTTGGGCACTCTAGAGGTTTCCTGGGTACTAACAGTCAGGTAGATGGTGGTCAGAGCTGGACCAGGAGGGACCAAATGGATGGAGCAGTGGAAGCTAGCTGGGTACCACTCTTTCTTCATGTGTTCTCAGAGTTCTCCATGTCTTCCCCCTGCATGGGTTAATTTGGACTCCTGACATGCTAGCTGAGATCCACAGCTAGTGGATGTCTTTTATAGTCAAGCCTTGTAAGTCATATTAGCATTGCTTTTCCAAAATCTACTAGTTGACTGACTGAGTTACTTTGCCCACCAGTTTCAGTGGGAGGAGACACACCCCACCTGCTGATAGAAGGGAGGCATTCTGGAAGAATAAATAGGAAGGTAATTACCATTGGGGTCATTTTTAAAAATCTTCCATATTTTAATTTTTAAAAATGATCTTGTAACTAACTTGATTATGTGTTTTTTTTCTTAATAATTATAGAACAAGTGCAGTGAATAGGGGAACAAATTCTGCAATTTGAAACCCCTAAACTCCAAAAAAGTACATATTTTAGCACTATCATGGCTACCAGCATCTTCCTCACTCAGTCCCACTCTCTATGTAAAATTGTTTTGCC